AATTGGGAAAATGTTAACCTTGGAAAAAGAAAATGATCCAATAGAAAATTATCTGAGTATTATAACTAAATTAGAGGAATATAGGTACAAAAATTGTATACAACAAAATGGAAAAATATTCAAATGTGAATGGTATAATAGTACATGTTATGGCTACAAAACTAAAAAACAAAAGTGTTTACAAATCTTTAGAAGAACAAATACCAATAAAGCACTAATGAATTATTTAAAGTATAAAAAATGTATAACAATCTAATTAAAACCAAGAAAAAATTATATTTTTCAAAAATCAGTAAGAAATTATCAGAAGCTAATGATTCGAGAGCCTTCTGGAGAATAATTAATAGTTTTCGTAAAAGAAAGTTACGGTTGGAAAAACAGACTAGAGTAGAATATAATGTTTGGTTTAAATACTATAATAAATTCTCTGAGAATTATCAGAAAAATGTCTGTAAAAAATATATGAGAACTAAAACAAGACCAGAAATTCAGCAAGATGAGGTAATCAAGATGGAATAACTACAGCATTGTATCAAAAAACTTAAAGACAAATCAACACCGGGATCGGACACAATACCAAATTCACTCATCAAAATGTTGCCAATAGAAATCTTACGATATTTAACTACACAATATAATCAACTTTACAGTAATAGTATAATACCGGCAAAGTGGAACGAAGTTATTTTTACTATGATACAAGGGAACAAACAGGAACCAACCAATTACAGACCAATAGCCCTTCTGTCCTGTCTACGGAAAGTGTTCACTGCAATATTAGCTAATAAATTTAATTACTGGACAGGGCGAATAAATATAGAAATAATACACAATTTGCATTTATAGAAGGGGGAGGTACTCAGACAGCTCTCTTTGTGCTGTCATTAATTCAAATCCAGTTGCTTAAAAAAGGTCATAAAGTGTTTGCCCTGTTTCTGGATCTCGAAAAAGCATATGATATGATTAGCATTACTGATAAGGCAAAAGAACTCTTGATAAATATGATAGGACTGTTATTCGGAAAATATAAGACAATCATTAAACAGGATACTAATATCTGGACACCGTTTATTACCTACAGAGGACTATTACAAAGAGATCCGTTGTCCCTATATCTTTTCAATTTTTATCTATTTGACCTAAATGATTGTTTTAAAAGAGATGAAGATGGGTTTCAAATTGAGAACCAGATAATACATACTATATCGTATGCTGATGATATTGTGTTGATAGCTCCTACAGCAGCTGCACTCCGTAGAAAAATCCAACAAATCTGTGAGTATTTAGAAAAGCTAAGAGTTAAAATAAAATTCAAAAAAATCAACAATTATGATATTTAGAAACGGAAGTAACGTATCTAAAAAGCACATGTCGTTTTTTATTAATAATGAAGAAGTGAAGTTAATGAAGGAAATTAAATTTTTAGGAGTAACATTCACACCTAATCTCTCGTTCGAAAACCCTATAAAAATTCACTAAATAAAGCAAAAATTGCAATAAATAATTTAATGTATTCTGCAAGGCAAAAATAAAGAACCTACGTTCACATTTTCAACTTTTTAATTCGATTGTGATGAATTCAATGGGCTATGCGGCCCCAGTTTGAAGCATGGAAAAATTTAACGACCTTGAAAAAATACAGAATATATTTATACGTAAGATATTCCAGCTAGAATATAATATCCCTGGTAGTGCTTTAAGATTAGAAACAAATAGATTAAGATTAAATACTATACTAATAAAAAGATATTTAAGGTTTTTACTCAAAATTATTAAGGCAGAAGATATAACAACAAAACTGCTGTTCGTACTATATCACAAATCAAGGGAAATAGACTTAAGACGAAGTTGGATAATTCAGCTAGCGAAGATAATAAATAAATATGGATTTTCGATTAAACTGTTCATGGACCGTACATATAATATGGAGCATTATAGTAAAGAAATAATATATAGAGTCATGGAATACTCTACTATTCAAGACATTGAAGATATACGAAAACAAGAAAACACAAGCTGGTATGCAATAATTTTAAATTATCCAACAAATAACAACTATATACTGACAAATATANTCGTGTTTGCCTGCTTAATGTTAGATCTAAACATCAGTAGGACAGAATGACAAAAACTAAATTGGCTATTTGTGGATTTGTCAAACAAAAAAAAATTATTTTAGATTTTCTCCATGTTTTTCTCAAATATTCGATTTTTTTCTGATGTTTTTAATGTAAGATTTCAACGCCCACTTTTTACTTTTATTTTTAACTTATTTTACGAGGTTTAATTTCTAAAACCATTGTTTGTACTTTATGTTATTTTATTAGATTAATCAATCAATATTCTATCTTATAACATCTATATATTAAAATGAATATATTCTATTAGTAAGAGGACAAATTTTGAAGAATTAATAGTTAAAGTTCTAATCAAACTCTGTTGAATTCTTCTGAATAAAGAATTACAAGACATCAATTAATTTAAACTTTGTCTTAGTCTAAATGCAATCGATAATAATCAATCAGAAAGTAACTAGCAATAGCAAACTTATTTGTTGTGTAAATCAAATTTACTCTTTGATTAATCTTGAATTACTCTATCAATTACTTGTATAATGAAAATGTCTTGTATAATTCGTTAAACATTCTTGTAATAATTATTCAGTCATTTTTATAATTTTATACATAAGAAATAATTTATTTTACTTCTCTATTTATAAAAAAATAAATTAAAATTTTTCGTAGCTTCAATTATAGTAGCTATCTTTTCTCTTCAGGAATAACCGAGTTTATTTCTATATTATTAAACAGACTTTTCATTAGCAGATATCACTTTGTTCTTGACTAATGGACGTATTTCCTACTATCTTCATCAATCACGGAAGCAAATTTCTCCATCGTTTCTCTTTTTTGATTATCTTTGGTAAGTGTAATTGGCAAACTGTTCCGAGTGATACTTATTTACACGTAATCGAACCACTTAATGTGATGTCGTGTTCTTGACAAATGTTCAAGACATTACTAGATCTTATTATGTCCTCAACATTATAATGTTTAGGAAATACTACAATAATTAAAACAATAAAATAAGTAAAATTCAAATACGTTTGATAAATAGAAAAGTAGAAAATGAAATAAAAGATTTAATACGAGTATAACCAATATTGTTAATTAATGTTTAATAACGAATCATATTTCAATTAACTTAAGAATTCAAGCTATCAAAAACAGATTAACACTACATCAATCAAATGCATTATCAAGATAACAGTGTATCTATGACAAGTAAATTGAGCAGAATTTCTACTAGAATAGTTTTATTTTATACAAGTTGAGTGTGCCCAGTGTTTCTCGGGTTTTTTAAGGGTGAGAATTGATGATGTTTAGTTGGGAGAAGACTATGAAAGCAGCGGTCTTAGTAACTGAAATATAGATTTATTCATCTGAATATTTACAATAATGAAACTGCAAAACATAAATTGTTCTGCTCAAGTTAAAAGGGCTTTAGGGATGATTGAGTATCTTTCTATAGATACCTAATAAACTAATAAACATAATATATTTTGAATTTTATAATTCAAAATAGTTATGTTTATTAGGTAAAGGGTTCTATACTGTTCAACGTATGCGCACCAAATTTGTCAAGAATATTCTTTAACACTCTAGCAGATTATAGAGAGAGATTTTATACAAAGAGTACAAGGGGCGCCCGTACATTGGGGGCACTTAGGGTACGTGCGCTCCTTTTCGTCTCGGTTGCCCTTTTCCTAATTCTTAACGGGGTCTCAAACAGCAAAAACTTCGAAACTTCTAGCCTATTCTGCAAATATAAAAGAATCTAATGAACGATACTTGTCCATTGACTCATGCAACTTTGTCGTGTGCCGATCAGAACACCACTTCTTGTTTTCAAGACTAAGTTAGCCCGAGTGCAATCAGAACCACTTGTGGGAGCGCTGATCCAACATTGAATCATAGAGTTTTATTCTCCTTGCAAAATTTCAGAAATTTTCGACAAAAAATACAAGAGTTATAAAGCTTCAAATAGAGTGAACGAAATAGGGTGCCCCTCATAAACACTAACATCCATACATACAAAAAAAAACCGTATTTGGAAGTCCCCGGAGTCCAAAAATACAAAAATCTTGGGAAGGGTCATTTTTGCCCGATCGCTATACTTTTCCTCTGTTATATAACAGCAGGGAAGGTAAAAACAGGAAAAAAGAAAACGTTAAAAAAACATCCAAAATTAAACGAACTCCGAGCAAGGGGATACAATAGCTACAATCATTTACTATCCTGGTATTAAAATTATAGGCCATTTCTAATAAAATCCGTGATTATTATACACATAATAGCTTAAATTTCCCTATTTTTAATTTCGAATGTTTACATTTGATTTCTCTGAAATCTCTCTCTTTTAAATATTATTTTAATCTTCGATTATTCATTTTNTAATTAAACAAGAAAAATTGAAAGGAAATTAAAGGGAAAATAATTATTAGAGATGATTATTACATCCAAGATAATAAAATATTCACGTGTGACATTAATTTAGATAAAGTAATACAACTAGAAAAATTTTTAGGAAGAAATTAACTAAGGAGGGTTTTGGATGATGTTTCAGATACTACAAACCCAAGTAACTTAGAAGGAAATAAAGAAAAAATTGGGTATATAGATACTCAGATAAATAATAATAAATTAGCAATAAAAAACCCCTTTTATAAATACAATTAGTAATGATAATAATAAGTTTACAATTGGATTTTGGAACATCCAAAGCTTGCAAGAAAGGCTTTATAGTGTTGCCTTATGGAAGGTCACTCTATCGTGGGGTTTACAGAAATATGAGTATCCATTTTGCTTGAAGGAGACAAGGAATTTTTAGGACGGAAACATATAGTAATGTTTCCGTCCTAATTCAGCGCAAAGGATTAATAGATTTGGGTGAAGCGTTACATTACTATACAACCGATAAATTCATATTCATTATAATAGATATTGGTCAGAATTTCCAATTAATTTGGGGAGAATCGCGAATCTGTATTGTATTTGTTTATCTTGCTACTTCAGTAGATAAAAAGCGAAGTTTTCAAGAAATACAAAAATGTATTGATCCATGGGCTAATGTTATAAATTGGTGGATAGTGGGAGGTGACTTGAATGCTCGTATAGGGGAATCAATGGATTTAAAATACAAAGGAATTAATGATAACATTATCAATAGGAGATTGTCCAAAGACAAGGTTATGAACATAGACGGGAATACATTGTCTTCCCCAGGAAAATGACTTGGTGATATGGAATGGTAGAATCAAAGGCGACTTTCCTGCTGAGTTCACATATGGGCAGATCGATAATAGATTACATTATGTGTTCTCAATCAGTTTTGGATCAATGTTTGTGGATGGAAATACTAAATATGGACGAGTCAGATCATTATCCGACGAAACTAATACTTAGAGGGAAATTAGAAAAAGTAGATATATCGAAGTTGCCTGTATTTTGTCCAAATCAAAATATGGAAATGAGAGGGAAGTTTAATAAATGAGTTTGGAACAAATATTAACGACATTTTTATTACAAGAGGAGGCTAAAAAACCGAATAAGAATTATGATAATTTAATGGCGGTACTAGAATTGTATCGTTTTAAAAAGTGTAAAAGGAATAATACAGTTAAATTTAAACAAAAATGGTACGACAATAAATGTTATTATTATAAAATTAAAAGAGAAAACAGAGCCTACAACAATTTCGGAAAATAAATTCAGACCAGTCCTTGAAGATTTATGTAGAAAACAAAAGATATACAAGAACTATATTAAAGCTAAAAAGAAAGTTTTTTTTCCTGCTATAAGTGATTCTTTAATAAGTCAGAAAGATACAAAAGTATTATATTTTGGAACATTATAAATAGATTTCTAAGATCTCTAATAATTACTGACAGGTTTATGATACCACTTTCAAGTTTGCATCAATATTTTAATGAATTTTCGTATATCTACTTAAAGAACTACAGAATGGATACTATTGTTAATAAACAACTAGAAAACCAGCGATATGAAGTGATATTTAATACAGAAAATTTATACTTTAGCATTAAAAAACTGAAAGATAAAACAGCCCCAGGACAAGATGCAATTACTAATTTTATAATTAAGAATCTACCGATGTCTATTATTAATTATTTGACAAGGATATTTAATGACCTATATGAATTGGGCATATCTCCAAAGGATTGGAATAAAGTTATATGCTGTTTAAAAAAGGTTCAAACCATCCAATTACCGTCCAATCGTACTATTGTCTGGATTTCGAAAACTGTATACAGTACTTCAATTCTTCTGACAAGATTTAGTAAATGGAACAAAAAAAAAAACAACTTTAATAATCACACCCAATATGCATTCAACAAAGATAGAAGAACTCAAGTGGCACTCTTTGTCTTATAATACAACTTCAGTTCCGGAAAAAAAGACAGCGTGTTCGCTCTATTTTTAGATATAGAAAAGGCATACGTCTCAGTTTCAATTCCAATATTACAGAGGAAAATGATAAATTAAGGAGCAGTAGTATTATTGTTTGGTCAGTATGAAGTTATGATAAAACAGAACAACATTTTATGGCCTGGTTTTGAAATTAGTCGCGGCTTATTACAAGATCCTCAGTCTCCATACTTATTCAATTTTTATATGTTCGATTTAATAGGGAAGACGACGGTTTTATGTTCAACAACCAAACAATACATTCTACAGTATATCATTTCAAAATTTCTAAATTAGAAATTTTAAAATACCCTTTTATTAACGTATATATGTACACAAACTTATCGTTTAATGTCAAAATTCTTAATAATAAATTAAAATTTATGATAACAATTATCTTTTTATCTATTATTGTTATCAACTCTGATAATTATTTGTCTGTTTAAATTATATGTTAAAACTTTTTGTTATATAATCAATTAAACACCCTTTGTAACAGGCTAATGTCTATTATGAATAAAGTTATTATTGATATTATTGTATTTATATTTATATATTTTGAAAAATGAAAAAAGACACGAAAAATAAAATAAAAAATTAAAATGCGTATCGTGATATAAAAACTTGTAAATAATTAACAAGGGAAATTTTGATAAAATATTACACAAAATTATAATTTAATTAATGGTACATTTACTCCAATTAAAAACAAAACAAATTGATGCGAAAAGAATTATCAACACAACATATTTGAAGGCAAAAGAAAAAGAACTTAAAACAACAAAAAAAAAAGTCTGAATAAGGAAAAAATATTAAAATATATCTAAACTGAGAGCATTTTATAATTAAGAGAATTGCCAAATCAATTATTCAATTAAAATACAAGTCGATCCCCCTATAACACTTGAATATTCCGTTTTATATGAATTCCATGTTGTACGAGTCACTTAGATTTTACAAATACGTGTGCTGGGCTGTGAACGGCTCACTTATTTGTAAAATCTAAGTGACTCGTACAACATGGAATTCATATAAAACGGAATAATCAACAGTGTTATAGGGNTAGATTTGATTGAATGACCCCTTCACAATGACCTATTCGAATAATGTTTTATCATATTCGAATTTTCCGCGTGTTAATAATATCTTATATTTCTAAAGATAATTCAGGAAATATTTTGTTATAAAATTTTAAAATTTTAATTTCAATATTATCAAAAAATATACAAATTAAAGAGATGAACAATGATTACATAATTATTAATTTAACTTCATTTTAAAGTTATAACCTATTTATTTATCATACCTTATATGAAGCATAATTAGAATAAATCGATAAAATTTAAACATTAATAAATCAAGTTTAAAACAATATTTATTTGTTATTTGGCTAATTTTTTAAAACTAAATTTTAAGAAATCGCGATTTGGAGATTTAATAACGTTAACTTACAATTTATTCCTGAATCATCAAATATCGAATGAATTCATCCGATTAAAAATATAACAAGTTTAAAAAGATACAACAATAAAGCTATTTATAAGAAGGAAATAAAAATATTCACAAGGAAATTTCAAAATATGTTAATATTTACAAAAATTAATTATTATAAATACGAAGATACGTGACAAACAAATTTAAGTTACATAAACATTTTCCTCTTAATATAATACATGTATATTATATAATAAAATTTCAATAAGATGTTTTTAATAATGCTTTATAATAAATATTATATTGTATCAAATAAACTGGATTAAGAAAGCGATACAATATTCTTAAATTAATATTGTGAGTCACTGTTAAATGCACTACATAAAAATAATATTACATAAAAATATGAAGACGTTTAACGAAAACAAAATATAAAAATTTTTTTAAAAATGAAAATAGTCTTTAAAACTATAATTTAAAAAATATTTTTGGAATAAACTTTATGAATAGTTTTAAAAATAAAAGTTTTTTTAGTCATTCTTCAATATAACTTCTAATTTTAATAATTATATAAGAGGTTTTACATCATACTTTAACAATGTTAAGTATTTTAATTAATACGACGAATCATATAATTATTATGATTGTATTTAGCCTTCATATGTGCGGAAATATTTAATGCAGTGCTTTCCGGGAGAAAGATGCAATTAAATAAGTTTATTTTTTATTTTATTTTCTCCCGTTCTTGTATGTATGTATGAACACAGACTGGTTACGAGTTATAAACGTGTTCACCAATCCATTTCACACTACATTTAGAATAGAAGGAGTTTTCTTTTTATTTTATTCTATTTTATGTTTAACTCCATTTTCCTCTAAGTTAAATTTCCAAATAAATACAGAACTTATTTAAAGTTGTATTATTTTATTGTTATTAATTTTTTAAATCTTTAAGATAATGAACTTTTATAGAAATTTTACATTTGCAACAAGGAAAATATAAAAGTTTAAATTAATATAAACATTATTTAAAATAAAATTTGAGATTTTAGTTATATGAGCATGATTTATTAAAATAATCGTTACTATCCGATTTACGTTTATTATAGACCACGAACAAACTGCAACATTTGTGGACTGAAAGTTGAATGTCTGGTTTGTTTTATATTAATTTAGCTAGTTCAAAGGTCCCATGAATCCAAAAATATAATCATTTTTTAACCGATCGCTATACTTTTCCTCTGTTATATAACAGCAGGGAAGGTAAAAACAGGAAAAAAGAAAACGTTAAAAAAACATCCAAAATTAAACGAACTCCGAGCAAGGGGATACAATAGCTACAATCATTTACTATCCTGGTATTAAAATTATAGGCCATTTCTAATAAAATCCGTGATTATTATACACATAATAGCTTAAATTTCCCTATTTTTAATTTCGAATGTTTACATTTGATTTCTCTGAAATCTCTCTCTTTTAAATATTATTTTAATCTTCGATTATTCATTTTATTAAAATATTTTTGTTGTTATTAAAATTTATTTAATTCACAAATCTTGTTATATTAATAATAAAATAATCGGTTTAAAGTATAAACGTCTAATACAGCATTCTAATTAAACAAAAACTCAATAAACATCCCATTTACTTATACAATTATGAAAACAGAACTACAGAGAAGAAATCGAACAAGTAGAAATTGTTATACTAAACACTGTTAAACACCCTTATCATTATAGTATACATATTATAATAATATTATATACAGTAAAACCTGTGTAAAACCGGGCCGAATATCTTTTTCGGTTTGGCAGGTTTCCATTTTATTAAGATTCCGTTTTAGACAGGTTACTGAAGATTTTATTTAGTCCTATATATTTTATTTAATTTATACAATTCTATATTATTCAGAACGTAAATATGAAACGTTTAAGTATATTAAATTTTACACTTAAAAAAGCATAAAGTAGACTTTAAAAAAAAAAAAGTTTAAATCAATTTTATAAACGTCTCATTTCTTCTTCAATTTATTATTTACTGTCAGATGAAATGTCAATAATATGGAAATTTAGTACATCTTTAAATAGAATGAAATGTCTTTGATTTCCATCACAATTATCGAAAATCAATTTTGTTAAAAGAAATTATTATAAAAATTCAAAAAAGTAAGAAGAAAAAGTAATCGCAATAAATCGTGTTATTGTTAAAAATTAAAACAATATAAACAATACAAAATCATTTAAAGATTAAATTTCTATGCATTAAAAATTATATGAAACATTAACAGTTAACAATAAACTAATTACATTTTTTAAAAAACAAATAATAAATATTTTCTTCGGTATGAAAACCACTTTAAATAATTTACACG